TTTTTTTTTTTTTTTTTTTTTTGTGGCAGTGGGGGCTGTGGAAGGGTTCTGGAATAAAGAGAACTCCTGAGGTAATAAGAATAGAGCCTTCAGATATGGATTGAACTTACTGGGTTTGCTAGTATCTAGACGTTATGGGTTCCAGCTTTGTTCCCCTCCAAAGCTCATATTTGGAATCCCACCTCTTGATGTGGTGATATTCAGAGATAGGGGCTTTGAGAAGTGATTGGGCTTAGATGAGGTCATGAGGGTAGAGCCCCATGATGGGATCAGTGTCCTCACAAGAAGAGAAAGAGAATAGATCTCTCTCTCTCTGCCAGGCACAGCAAGAAAATGGCCATTTTCAAACCAGAAACAAAGGCTCTGCCCAGAACTCTACCATCTGGCCTTCTGATCTCAGACTTCCCAGCACCCAGAGCTGTGAAAAATCAATTTCTGTTATTTAAGCTCCCAGTCGAGTGTATTTGTGTTAAAGCTGGCTGAAGTGACCAAGGCACTAGATAATTATTATACAGGAAGGAGTTCATTTTTAAGCAGAGCGATTGCATATAAGCCATAGAGGTGGCAGAAATGGAGGGAACTGCCAATACAGGACTTTGAGAACATGAACAGCTGGTCATTATGAAGAACAAATAGGATGATAGCTCAAGAACATGTAGCAACGCACAATATTGTTTTGGGGAACCACACACAAAGAGATCTATTGATACGTTCACTTGTTTTCTCAGGACAAGATGATCAGCCAAGTACAGTTAATGGACAGTGAGAAATAATTAAAAATAAATACCGGTTGAAAACTGTCAACAGAGAAAAATAAATACAAAAGCAAATCCACAAAACAATAGAAATTGGCAACTGCTTTATTTGGCAGAAGCAAAGATTATTTCAAGTAGTGATAAGACTTAATAGAAGCCCCAGACTCAAGGATTGTTGGCTGAAGATTGCGGCAGGAATACGGATGACAAAACCAAGGGCAGTCTGACAATGACATTGTGGGTTATCATTTATAAAGGGAAAGCATTTGCATGTGTTATATAGTTATCAGGGCTGAATTTAATTTAGTAAATTTAATTGCTAAACTTTAATCATGCTTCTGATAATATACACCAAAAAAAAAAAAAAAAAGAGAGAGAGAGAGAGAGAGACAGAGAGAGATCTCTGGAGAGGGAGCATAGTGAGTCAACATGAGCGTGTGTTTCTTTCATGGGTTCTTGGTAATCTTTTGCTTCTTCCATAGAAATGGAAGTACAGATTATAGAATAATCTGTGTAGGTTGCATATAGTTCGGAATTAAAGAACAGAAAAAATGTTATCAATCTGTTTATTCTGTAACCATTATTGCTTTGTGAGTTTTGCAGGCAAGTTAGTCATTTCAGAGAGACATAATATTATAGAAAAGCAGGTAAACAGTTAACTGGACTGTTTAATCTCTGAATTTAGGTCCCTCTGTCCCTACAAACTTGGTATTACTCTTTTCCCCTGTCTTTCTCATTTCCAACGACCTTCAGGGCACAGTTATTTCAAAATATCATGGGGTTAACTGGATCACTGTGTGATAAGAAACCTCTCTGGATGCCCTGGGCTAGTTCTTGCTAGGACAGCTAACTCCGTAATTATTCTAATGTGAGCCCAGGGCTGGTTTCTCATTCCGATCTTAATCTTTTGGCCAGGGCAATTTTAGTGGTAAAGTATTAATATTTTTGAAATAAGGAAAATATTTTTGTGTGAAATAAGGTCCTGGTAAAGCTCGGTGCTCAAGAGAGGAGAGGTTTGCTAGTACACAAAGCCAACAGGTGCATCAGTGGGAACCTGGGAAGCACCTCCTATGAAGACAGAGGCTCTCATATGTGTAATTTCCTGTTTCAGTCTCAAATTTTCCCATTTTTTACAGTTTATTTATTTACTTTGAGATAGAGAGAGACAGAGCACGAGAGGGGAAGGGGAAGAGAGAGAGGGAGAAACAGAGGGAATCCCAAGAAGACTATGCACTGTCAGCCCTGATGTGGGGCTTGAACTCACAAACCATGAGATCATGACCTGATCAAGAAATCAAGAGTTGGATGCTTAACTGACTGAGCAACCCAGGCACCCCTCAAATTTCCCCAATTTTATGTGGATATTCAGCAATATGTAAACAAAGATTTTTTTAAAAATATGTCATGCATGATTTGGAAATGAAATTTTGATTTGATTCTCATATATGTATATATATTTATATTTGGTTTGTCATTAATTCAACAAGCTATGCCATTCCTTTTCCATTTTCCAAGTCCGTCAGTCATTCCCTTTTCCCAGATTGGCAATTAAAGATAAAAAAACAAAACCAAACAAAACAAAACCTGCTGTTTTAATTTCAACTCTTTAACTATGGATTGCCGATTATTTTTCCAAGATCAACCTATTTCCCTCTCTACCACAAATCCGTACCGGATACAAGCCTGAAGAAGGAAATGCTAGATATTTCTGTCAGCACAAGGACCACCCTATGGTTTAGTCCTTAACAGGTCAACAAGTGAGGAAATTACTGTAAATATCTAGTGTTAATTTTTTTTTTTAACTTTCAACCTGTCCAGTCTAATAAAATAAAAAACTGGGCTACCATTCACTTCTTTTGTTTTAGTTGGTTTTCCAAGACAGTTCACTCAGGCATCTTCCTCTTCCCCTCCCTACCGTGTACCATTTTTGTTCCAAGAACCTGTGTGTAAAAACTACTCAGATTTTTTGGAACCATTAAAGTCTCAGAGTTTAATAAGTGAACAAGAAACACTTTCCACCATACTCAGATTTCAGGTAGTGCAAGGAAACAGGGAAGAAGTAAAATTGTACAAAAAAAAAAAAAAAAGGCTGGTTTTATGATGTAAAGATAATATTAAAGTGCAGCTTGAAATCTGAAAAGACAGGACAGTCCAGACGATCTCCAGAATAAATTGCTAGTGGAGGTTTCCCAAATCAGTGTGTATGTTTATTTCAGTACCTCCATTGTTAACATCATTATTTTGAGAAGAGACAGTTCAAATTGCTTTACATTTAGGGGCTTCTATCTCCCCCTGTGGACATGGTATTATAGACTAGTTTAGGGGCCCTTGGGTGGCTCAGTGGGTTGAGCGTCTGACTTCAGCTCAGGCCATGACCTTGCCGTGGGTTCGAGCCCCACATCAGGCTCTGTGCTGACAGCTCAGAGCCTGGAGCCTGTTTCGGATTCTGTGTCTCCCTCTCTATCTGCTCTTCCCCTGCTTGTGCTCCCTCTCTCTCTCTCTCTCTCTCTCTCAAAAAATAAATAAACATTAAAAAAAAAACCAGTTTAGAGACCAGTTTAATTAACACCTAATATAATTCAGTTCAGTGGACCCAGTCAGCTTATCCTGTAAATATTTTATATAGAAATATCAGTGTTTTATATAGATGCTGGACTCTTGTACCATCTGAAGAATTCTAGTTCCTTCAGTTTAAGAAGACAGAGCAGCAAAGATAGAGCCACAAAATTAGCTAAACCTATAAATCGCTTCTTCCACTGCTATTGTGAGTGCTTGCGACATAAGAAAATCATGTGGATGAATTTACTGTCTTTGCAAATGCTTTTCTTACACATCAAGATTACCAGGAAAACACCAATAAATAGTTTTCCTGGCTCAAAAGAGAACACTATGTGTTCGGTGCCACGTAGGACAACCTTGTATATTTAATTACTTTCATTTAATTTTGTCCCGTGGTGCGATGCGTTCCCTGACTTCACCGTGGTAGAGTTTGCTTTGAAGTTGTAGACAAATTAAATCAACCGCTTGGATCACATGTGTCCCAAAGAATGTGGTTTCCCAGGTATGAGCAATCTATCAATCCCCTACTCTCCTTTCACTTTGGCATTTTGACAGTCCTAGCCAACTTCTTAGGTAGATATTTTATTTTGTACCTTGATCACAGCAGCTCTTATAAAGACTTTCAGAATTACCTGTACAAAGTACACCTTTGATGTTTGCAAGAGGTTGGTGCATTTCTCGATGATTGTGCAAACATTCATAATTATGCCCACGGGTAAACATACTGCTGTCTTCTTGGAAAACGGAGAAGGACAAAGAATGTTTATGTGCAGGGCCAGTCATTCCAAGTATCTCTTGTCGGTTTAGACACACCTGGTTACCATCCCCCCCCACTTATTGGCCAGGAAAGTTGCCCCACCTGATTTGTAAGTTTACCTGTCCTAGTCAATGTGTGTGTGCTCGCGCACGAGTGGTGGTGGTGGGGGGGGGGGGAACTCAGCCAGCCCACACTGGATTAAATCTAGCTAGAAGTAGCCAGAAAGCTCTTTGAAAAACCACTGGGCTCTGGGTTCATTACTACAGGAAACTTGTTCTCTCCTGAGGCACAGAGAAACCTGCTGCAGAGCAACCCTGCAGGCTCAGGAGTCCAGTGGGATAAAACCCATCCCGGAGGATAATGGCCACCTACGCCCTGCAGATCGCTGGACTGGTGCTTGGTGGTGTTGGCATGGTGGGCACGCTGGCCGTCACCATCATGCCTCAGTGGAGAGTGTCTGCCTTCATTGGAAGCAACATCGTGGTGTTTGAAAACTTCTGGGAAGGACTGTGGATGAACTGCGTGAGGCAAGCCAACATCAGAATGCAGTGCAAAGTCTATGACTCCCTGCTGGCGCTGTCTCCGGACCTGCAGGCATCCAGAGGGCTCATGTGTGCTGCTTCCGTGCTGTCCTGCCTGGCTTTCGTGACTGCCATCCTGGGCATGAAGTGCACCAGGTGCCCCGGGGACGATGAGAAGGTGAAGGGTCACATCTTGCTGACGGCCGGAATCATCTTCATTGTCACAGGTCTCCTAGTGCTAATCCCTGTGAGCTGGGTTGCCAATTCCATCATCAGAGAGTTCTACAACCCGATAGTGGAGACGGCCCAAAAACACGAGCTTGGAGAGGCTCTCTACATAGGCTGGACCACGGCGCTGGTGCTGATTGCTGGAGGGGCACTGTTCTGCTGTGTCTCTTGTGCCGGTGAGAAGAGCAGCAGCTACAGGTACTCCGTACCTTCCCACCGCACAACCCAAAAGAGCTATCACGTGGAAAAGAAGTCACCGAGTGTGTACTCCAGAAGTCAGTATGTGTAGTATGGTGGCTAGTCGTTAACTTGACGGATAAAGCCATGCCAATGACTAAAGTGACCGCTGTTCTCTAAAAATGGAATCCAAAGGAACATTGATTTGCCATTCTTAACTGCCTAACACTAATTACAGGAACCGTGCATTGGCTATGTAGGCTTCTATGAGCTATTTCAGCAGAATGAGATACCACACACCGTGCTTTGATTGTTCTAGGAAGTGTAGTAACATGTTTTCTAAAATGATTCATGCGTCTTTGTCTTTCGCCAGTTACTTCAAAATGACACTGTTAAAGACTGTCTTGTTTCCCAAGTGTGATTTCTCTAAGCCACAGCGTTATGTATGGAGATCAGCGTGTCTGTATCTCACATAAAGAGAGACAGGGTTATATGGTTCTATTTTAAATGAAATACTGATTCAATACACTGAATAAATAAAACTCAACTATTGCTTTTCAAGGGAATCGGGGATAAGATTGAAGAAGGTTAATATTAATTGTGTAAAAACAGCTTAGCAATTAATGCGCACGATTCCTACGGAAGGTTAAAATGGAGGTTTTAATCAGCAGTGTAAAGGAAGCTAAATGGCTTTCTGATATCCTGTTTTTCAAGCTAGAAATCCTAACTCCTTTATCCTTTTTCCCCAGAGGCCTTTCTTTTCTTGTATATTAAATGAATATCTTTTAAAAGGCAGATACTGTTGTGGAGGAGCTTTGCATTCAGACTGCTTTTCCAGGGCTATCTTGAGAAGAAAGATAAAACTGTAGTCCGAGAAACATTGAAGACATCAGGAAAGGGAATTTTGTTTTTCCCCTGAAGTTTTTGTGGTTGGAGGAGGATGCATTTTGATGAGAAATCATATTATGTATGTGAATATTTTAACAGCCGTTTGACTATAGACTTTGGGCATTTCTCAATATAAATAACAGGATAGGAAAATGATATCTCTTGGTTTTTAGTTGCTCCCCCAAGGAACAAAACCAGGTTGTCCTTTGCAAGCTGCACCTGCTTCTAAGGTGTGTGTAGATGGCTAGGTTTAAATTGTCATTTCGATCCCATCAAAGATACATTTTTTACTTGTTCTATTTTTTATTCATTCTTACTGAGGTATAGAAATACTCTAGCTTTGAGTCTCCCCCAAAGTTGATGCAACTGATAATTCAATTTGAAAGTTTGTATCCACATTCTAACTTAAATGACCATACATATCTGCTTTATGTCCTTTATATTAATAAATTGTGCTTTTTATATAAATTTGATGTCTTTCCTTCTTCTTCTTTTTTTCTATTTATTTACTTGTTTTTTAAAACCCTAATATTTTCAAATTTTCAATTTTATTTTATTTTATTTTTTTATTAAAATTGTTTTAATGTTATTTTTGAGAGACAGAGAGACAGAGTGAGAGCAGGGGAGGGGCAGAGAGACAGGGAGACACAGACTATGAAGCAGGCTCCAGGCTCTGAGCTGTCAGCACAGAGCCTGATGCGGAGCTCGAACTCACAAACAGTGAGATCCTGACCTGAGCCAAAGTCAGACGCCTAACCTACTGAGCCAACCCAAGTGCCTTTCAACTCTTCAATTTTAAAAAAAGGCCACATTTGAAAGATAAAGGTAGACTCATCATTAATTTTTGAGACTATAAAATACTATATGTTGTTTAACGACAGTATTCCTTATAGCCACTGGATTCATACACTAATTTTTGATGCAGGCAATATATTTGTAATGTATTAAGATATTACTGTAGGTTCTAACAAATTGATATACTGTAAATATTATGTATGTTTAAGCCATTTCTATGAAGCCACTATTAAGTCATTTTTGTAAAAACTTTGCATAGTTAAGTACATTTTTACATCTGAGAAATAGCATCAATTAATATACTGGCTAATGTCTTAGGGACGTAAGTTATATTTGGACCTCTACTGAATTATATCATCAAATATTATGTGGCTAGTTCAATGCACAGATGAGGACACCTGGGATTTGTTCATTGATTACCCAGTAGAGTCAGGAGCAAGAATAAGGACCACGTGACTTCGCAGCTCATGCTTTTTTTCTTCAGGGAAAGTAGTTTTCTTCAGCATCTTTCAGCTTATCAACGGATCTTTGTATGTGAAAACGCCATGCTTATCTAGTATCAGTTGAGAAAACTTCTAGTGTTTTTTTTCTGGGGTTGGTGATTTTGCAATAGCTAAGTGCTAATTTATCCCAAGCATGCTTGGCCCCTTGGGTCAAACCATTCATGAGAGCCGAAATCAGGGAAAACTGAGTGCCTTGGAGAAGTAACCCAATCCTCTAAATACCGGTCTTTACCAATGCCCTTTTTACCTAGAAAGCTCTCCTGAATGCCCCACACTCAATTTTTATTTTCCACTTCTTTTCTCTACCGTAATTATAACACTGCTAGTTTTTCTATGGCGCCACCTCTTGAAGTCTTTCCCCAGTGTTCCATGTTTACTGTCATCTCATCTCTTTCCTACCTGGTTGAGAAAGAAAGTCCTCTAGACTCACAGCCTGCTGGGTTTTCTTGCCCAGCCGCCCTCCACATTCCTATCTCAGTTCTTCCTAAAATGTCCCTCACCCCCTATAATCCTTGTAGAAATGCTCCACTGCCATAAGGTAGGTCCAAATGCCTTAGTGGGTGATAACCGACAGGCAGGGAAATGTCTTATAATCTTCATGGCAAACTGTATCACATCAGTGTTTTTAACCAGTATGGTAACAATTATAAAGCCCATGTTCAGAAACCAAAATAACTCACATGCCAAAGGGCTTCTTTCATATTGTGAAAGAGAAGCACTGGAATTAGGAAATGATTCAATTAGTGGCAGGCTGAGCATGTTTTATAATGTAGCTTTATAATGTATTTTATGGAAGGACACATGAGTGGCTCAGTCGGTTAAGCGTCCGACTTCGGCTCGGGTCATGATCTCACAGTTCGTGAGTTGGAGCCCCAAGTCGGGCTCTGGGCTGACGCTCAGAGCCTGGGGGCTGCTTCAGATTCTGTGTCTCCCTCTGTCTGCCCCTCCTTCTCTCTCTCTCTCTCTCTCTCTCTCTCTCTCTCTCTCTCTCAAAAATAAATAAATGTTAAAGCAAATTTTTTTAATACTGTATTTTATAAAGAAACAAAGTAAAGTAATAGAAAGAACACAGGGGACGTGGTTTGATACCTTACTTTAGAGCTTAGAGCTTTTTCCCCCCTCTTTCTTACTATACCACCTGTTGCCTACACTAGGCACCCCTTCTAACGATTCTGTATTCCAAATGACTCCCTCCTGCACTGCAAAGACAGTTTTCAGGCTGCATTATGCTAAGTTTCAGGGATCCAGGGATGTTTTTGTTTTCAAGGAATCTGTGATCTCGTAGTAAGAGACAAGCGCAAGAAATATAGCCTTCAGTTCATGCCCACCACGTGTTTGGTGCTTTTTTTCTTTACCATAGCGGTCCTCTAAGAATTCTGTAAATTACATATGAGATCAGGAGGACACCGTGTCTCTCGTGTTATATGTAACGTGATGATATATGTAACGTCCCCCGTCTCAAAGTGATGTTACGTGTAACGTCCCCTGAAAGAAATATAAATGTATGTAAATAAATAAAGAAACAAATAAAAACAAACATTTGTATATAATAAATATAAATATACAAATAAATATAAATAGATGTCTATGCATTAAATATAAATAAATATTTATATAATATATATATACCCTAATTCAAGAGCCTGTGTTCTCCCGCATATTGTCTGCCCAAAGGCATCCCTCCCAGACTAGACTTTGTGAACAGCAAATGTGATCTCACCACCTCGTCTCCTAGGTCCCTGGACCTCCCTGGCCACAGCACTCTTCCTCCCTGACCCCCAGGGTGGACCTCGTCACCAGTTTGTGCTACACTTTTTCTCCCCTCTTGCTCCCGTCTCAAACTCTACCTAATTTGCTTCTTCCCAGTCCCTCACATCCATCATTTTTTTTTTCCCCCTTGGGACACATTGTCTTTTTCTAGATTCCTGTCATCGGCCTTGTGTTTCAAATTCTCCGGGCCTCCTTCCTTGTCCTGAGGAAGCCTCTCTCCCAGAGCTGCGGGGCAGTGCCCCTGCAGCCCCCTCTTTCCTGCTCTGCCCCCACCCCCTGTGTGCAAAGCACAGCCCGGCTGGAAGCCCGCCAACAGGCCGAGCCCAGAGGCCTGTTTTCCGCAGAGCTTAGGGCTCCGCCAGGTTTAGGAGGAAAGAGCAGGGTAGTGTTCAACCTGGAGATTAATGAGACTCAAGGGATCACTGGCGCCGAGGCCCGAGGCCAGGCCTAAAGTTCTGAGCTGGGGGCAGGGGGCCCATGGGGGTCTTGTGGCTTCCACCCGCCTCCCAAGGCAGTCCTGGGACGAGGGAGACATCGGCACTCCTGTGTAGTCACAGGGGGATAATCTCAGAGGCCAGGGAGACTGTGGGAGACTCACGCAGAGGCTGGACTCCTTCCTATTCGGGGCGCCCCGAGGGTGAGGATGCCAACAGCTGGGTGCTCAGAGATGACTTCCCAGGGCTCCCGCAGGGCGATGGCAGCTTTCGGGTCGCGGGGTCCCTGGCCAACGGAGAGGACTGCTGTCACCCCTAGGGCGTGCTGTGGCTGTGGTTATGGCAACTTAACCTCCACAAGGAAAGAATTGCAGATCGAATTGCAGGATTCAAAGGCTTCTTATTACCGGGGCGCCTGGGTGGCTCAGTCAATGGAGAGCCGGACTTGGGCCCGGGTCATGATTTCGCGGTTCGTGAGTTCGAGTCCCGCATGGGCTCATTGCTGTCTGTGCAGAGCCTGCTGCAGATCCTCTCTCTCTGTGTGTCTCTGCCCCACCCCTGCTTGTGCTCGCTCTCTCTCTCTCTCTCTTTCTCAAGAATAAACATTAATTTTTTCTTAAGTCTCCTTGTTATTACAATAACATGGTTTCCACGTTTAAAAAGTCTGCAGGGGGGGCGCCTGGGTGGCGCAGTCAGTTAAGCGTCCGACTTCAGCCAGGTCACGATCTCGCGGTCCGTGAGTTCGAGCCCCGCGTCAGGCTGTGGGCTGATGGCTCAGAGCCTGGAGCCTGTTTCCGATTCTGTGTCTCCCTCTCTCTCTGCCCCTCCCCCGTTCATGCTCTGTCTCTCTCTGTCCCAAAAATAAAAAAATAAACGTTGAAAAAAAAATTAAAAAAAAAAAAGTCTACAGGGAACTGCGAGTTGAGGAGAGTCCGTGTTGAGGTTAAGAACTGGATGTTTGGAAGGCCAAGTAGACATAACACAGAGCAAACAGACAAAAAGCTGCAGTCCCTGAGGAAAAGCACAAAGGCCCCGGGAGAACCCATTCAAGGACCGGAAGGGGTCAATTCGGAGAAAGAATAAAGACCCGATGGAAGGATGGGCGGTCACTGAAAAGGAAAAAGCAGGGTTTAAAATGAAAAGCTCAAACTTGCAGATAGAAAGGGCTCATTGAGGTCCTGGGAAAACTAAAAAGAGTTGGGAGCTAAATCCTGCAAATGACACCAAAATAAAACAAAACAACGGGCAACAACAAGAAACCCAAGTATGCAAGTTTGCATCAATCATGAGAAATTACTTAACAATAATGAGCAAAAAAAAAATCATACTTGCATCCGATTCCTTTAAAGTTTTTTTTTTATTTTAAGAGAGAGAGAGAGAGAGAGAGAGAAAAGGAGACAGAGAGAGAGAAAGAGAGAGAGAGAGAATGAGCAGAGGAGGGGCAGAGAGAGGGAGACAGAGAATCCCAAGCAAGCTCCAAGCTGTCAGCCCAGAGCCCCTGGCAGGGCTTGAGTTCATGAACCCACCAACGGTGAGATCATGACCTGAGCCCAAATCAAGACTCGGGTACTTAACTGACGGAGCCACCCAGGGGCCCTGCATCAAATATTTCTACCACTAACCTAGAAGCTACAAGATGGCAGAGTAAAGACAGCAGGAGAGCAAATCCCCACCCTAAGTCTACTCCCAGGAAAAACCCGCATTCCCCTGTGAGTGAGAGAAAGGAATTTTGTGGCTCCTCTAGGATCCTACAACTCTGTCCCTCAGACAGCTAATTTGAAGGCAATACTAAAGCAATGAATGGCAGAGGGGACATGGAAGGGAGGACTTGGTCAGCCTTGACTCTTGCAATAAACAGAAGGAACTGGTTGGTCCAGAGCTGGGAGGAGGGTTTGCTCCAGGAAAACACTACAAATACGTCACCTTTGATGTTCGAGTTCAGAACTACTACTGCCTTCCCGATCCT